GCACCTCCAGATCCCAGACCATCTCTCCCACCTGCGAGGCTCCTGATGGGCAGCAGAGGCGCTCTGCACCGGCGGGGGGCATGGAACCTCTAACGACAATTGCGGCCACGGCGGCAGCAAGTTCGCTGCCAGGATGCAGAAAGCACCAGCACAATCCACGAGATCCGAGACGTCTCTCATCCCCCCCGCGTCTGGCGAGTGGAGCTGAAGCCCGTGCTTCGCCCCAGCGTCGGCGTCAGAATTGCCTCTGCGACGGGAGCGCTCGCCCGCCGAAGTGCCTGCTTCATTCGCGTCGACGTGGGCTTTCACCTTGATAATTCCCCACATGCTTCGTGGGGTTATGGTTTTCTTCCCTGCCGCGCCGCACCCGCGACACTCACACACACACACCTCACTCTTCGTACAGCACAGCTCAGCACAGCACATCACAGCACAGCACAGCACAGCACAGCTCAGCTCAGCACACAGCTCAGCTCAGCTCAGCACACAGCACAGCTCAGCACAGCTCAGCACAGCCCAGCACGGCTCAGCTCAGCACAGCACAGCACAGCTCGTGGCACTTGCTCGACACCGTGCGCAGGGGGTGGTCTCTCGCCGCCGTCTCTATACGCGCCAGTCTTCCAGGGCACACCAGGCATGGCATATTCTCGACACCATAGGGGGTGCGCAGGGGATGGTTTCTCACCGCGGTCTCTATACGCCCCTGTCGTCCAGGCATAGCAGGCGTGGCAATTTCTCGACACCATAGGGGGTGCGCAAGGGCTACGGTCTCCACCGCGTCTCTATACGCCCCAGTCTCCCAGGCACAGCAGGCGTCTGGCACTTTCTCACACCATAGGGTGGCGGAGGGGCACAGAAACGTAGAGGAAGGGGCCAGCACACAGCTCCAGCTCAGCCAGAACCACAGCCACAGATCAGCACAGCTCAGCACAGCTCAGCACAGCCACGAACGGCTCAGCTCAGCACAGCCACAGCACAGCTCGTGGCCCTTCTCGACCACCGTGCGCAGGGGGTGGTCTCTCGCGCGTCTCTATACGGCGACAAGTCTTCCAGGGCACACAGGCATGGCATTTCTCGACACCGTAGGGGGTGCGCAGGGGGCGGGTTTCTCACGCGGTCTCTATACGCCCCGGTCGTCCAGGCATAGCAGGCTGGCACTTTCTCGACACCGTATAAGCGGTGCGCAAGGGCTGGTCTCTCACCGCGGTCTCTATACGCCCCAGGCGTCCAGGCACAGCAGGCGTGGCACTTTCTCGACACCATAGGGGGTGCGCAGGGGGT